ACGAAATTGCTGCTGCTCGTCAGCTTCCGAAGTGTCTTCTTAGTTGGCTTGAAGCACGACGCAAGGTGAGAGATTCCAACTATATATATTAATCCCTCATTGTTCTAATTGGCCTTATGCAAGCTGCTATTTTGTAATCTAGTTTAATGTATAAGACTCCGTATTAACCTTTTTTACTATCTTCACAAAAGGTATATTTTTAAAAATTTATGGTGAGTATGTTTCGACACTATTAAAGGATCTTAAATTAGAACTATGTTTATTATAGTTACCCGGATCTAATCGCACCCCAAGAACAGATTATAACCAAGCTCGTGTGCCTTAAGTGGCAGCCAGTTTTCCGAGAGCCACTAGTTGGATTCGTTCATAGGGCAGATGTGGCCCTCACTGATTACTAGGCCTTCCACAAACTACGTTTCTAATAAGATTTTTGATGATGCAAAATATAGAATTTACATTACAATCGATAATCATGCTTATATTTATGGCGAGTATGTCTCAAGACTATCAGTAGATCGTGAATTTTAAAGATTGAAAAGGAAAGGCGAAATTGTGTGATAATAGTTGTGTACGTATATATTTATTTGTCTTCCAATCTTACTTTGGGCCCTTAACATTTTCAAACAGATAAATGCACATCATTAATTCAGCCATTCTTCCACTTTTATCTAAGATTCTTGTCCCTCTGGAATTTTGTTTTTGCATGATCTTTTATTGATTTTTTTGCATATCTCTAATAATTATGCGATATCAATTTAAGGTTAACTATCAAATAATGTCATAAAAGATTCATTTTTATCATTTTCTTTTTATGTCGTTGGGATAAACTGAAATCCCTGATTTCCTGTAGTATTTTATCCTTCACATTCCTCAGTAGATCTATTTATATATATTCTATTATCTTTTAACTATTTTGACCTAAGGCATTCTTATCGGTATCATTGTTCTAATGTAACCAAAACTGTTTTTTGTACATGTCCTCATTGTGACAAGTAAAAATGATCTAAATCTACCAATTTTATCTTATAATAATTTAATTTTTTTAATAAGTCACATAAGAAGCTGAATTGCCTTTAATATGCATTCCTCAAAGGATGTGGAGATTATTTTAAAGATATTTGGGAAATAACTTGATAAATCGCTTCTCATATTTTTATTTTGATGTTACTATTTTTGACTTTTACCTCTAGCTTCTTCCTGACGAACGAAGAAAGTATTTACCAACAAAAGCTAACCTTGATTGTTCATGGTTGGAGCTAATAAAGCATCTAAAGTCGATTGTGACCTCCCTTGAAAAGAGGGCCAGAGCTAAGTATGTAATGCTCTTTATCTCTAACCCTCATTTTTACACTTAATATACATCTTGCTTTAATAATACTTTAATAGGCGGAAGGTTGCCTCATCCTCAAATATTAGTCAATCCTCCAAGGAACGTCATTTCAGTAAACACATTACATCTGCTTCTGTGGGTGAGCCTAACAAGGCTGTGGACGAGCTCACCGAGGCTGTGGACTTTCCTCCTGAACTCAAGATAACTCACCTGGTTGGTGACAATTGTGAGTTAGTTTCCTCAATAATTTCATACCCAACTTGATTCCTGGACTGAGTAGGATGATCATAAAGAGTAGTCCATTATTCCGTTTTAGGTCCTTGATTTAATCATCTCATCTATTATATTAATTATCTCGGGGATTTACTCCAGACTGCTTTCTTGTCTGATATAAAAAGCCTTATCTATACGGAGCGGACAGTTTGGGGACCGGTTCTTGTTAAAGTATT